CGGTTATGATCGACCTGGCTAGCTTCCTTTTTCCATCGATTGAATTACCTTTTGAGAGACTTCACTTTTTTCCATTGATTGAATTACCTTTAGAGGGCCATTCTTCAGCGAACATTATTTATATGTGACATCCTTAGTGAGGTTTTTCCTCACACCTCTATCACAGTTAATGGAACGCCCATTTTCACGCTGGGAAGGCAACCCATTTCAAATTAACTCAGGGATGGTGATTGGTACACGAAAGAAGGAAGAACCATGAGAAACGGCCCAGAACCCGAGAAATGGGACCCCTTCCTTCCCCGCTGATTTGCGCATTGATGCGACTCTTATCGCTGTGCCCTCCTCAACATCACGCTCTCTCTGCTATCTAATCAATCCCACGTATAGATCTGCGGCGAGTGATCAGCTGGTCGGTGGGCGGAGATCGCCAGACCCGCCAACTTTGAGGCATAATAGGTCGCCGAGGTCAAATTTTTCGATGCGAATTGCGCATCAGTTCGCACCCTCAGGAGGTCCGTGGGTTACTCAACTAGGTGAATTACTTCTTCCTCGACCTCCATTCTAATCGTAAAATCCTCCCTTTAATGTTGCCCTCTATGATTTTTGCCCAGTGCTTTTTGAATTCCTTCTACAAGTGATTTTTTTTCAATTTTTTGCTAACTCTTTTATAGTTTATTCTTGTAATCCGAAGGTTTTAGGTGTTCCCACCAATAAACACTAATATGCTGGGATATAATCCGTCCACGCTGTCAAACATTGCTTAAATTCTGTAAATTTTCAGGACTACCATTGAATTTCGGCTAAAGGAGACGTTCCAATGTATTTGACAAACCGAAATGGGAGGGGGTCATATACACAAGGACCCGCGGAGAAGACAAGATTCTTTATGTGACAGTACAACGCAGGTACGATCGCGATACTATCACCGTCTTCAGGGGAGTGGAGCGCTTTCAAATTCTAGTGCGACTGCTAAGCGCAGACAGGTGCACGGCGTACCCCGAGCAGGAGTTTTCACTTCAAAACGCTTATCTGTCAGCCGCCGTAAGCAGCAACAAACTTTCTCAAAGAAACTTGATGTCTTCAGATGGAAGAAAGTGGGAACTTGCTGAATTGACTCTAGGGACCACCTCAGAATTCTGGCAAAGGAAATCATTTCAGGAAAAATTTTGCATACGTTGTAAAGCACTCCGTAGACTTCCCTTTTTACGCTTTTGAAGGAAATTATAGACGCCCCAGGATTGCAAATTGCGGTCTCAGGGAATAGGCCATGAAAAAAATTGTGGCGGAAAAACGGAACGGATTCCTGAGTGGCATGAATCGAATCGGCGCTGGCATCAATTGTTAATAGTGGCCTCGTCCGCAGAGTCTTGAAAAATGCTACACATCCCACGCAAAATGTAGCCACGTACAGATCCAAAGCCCGCCGATCAACTGTTCAAACATGAGTGGCTTTCCATGCTGCCTATGCAACTGTATATCTCGGTTTGACCAGGCAGTAGCCACGCTGACGTTGACGCTTGAAGCGTCCTTGCACCAAGGCTGCCTGTGCTCCTTCCCATCAGAATACTTTACGGGCAAATAGTGTTGGAAAATTCCTTCGTAATACTTCTATTACTTTGTGATTATTACTGTACCAATTCTTTCGTTTACCCATCATTACCAGACATCTAACCCGTCCAGTACTGCTATTAGAGCCAGTCGACGAAGACATGCTCGAGGGAAATAATGATACAAACCCTTTCGATACACCTTCAGTTTATTCTGGGAGCACGCGTCATCGTATGTAGGCAGCTTGGAGGTGGATAATACCAGTATTCGCGCTCTCTGAAAACCCTTCAGGATATCTATAATCCATGAGCCCCTGTTTTCTTTTAATCCAATAGGGCCAATCGCCCGTTAAGAAGTTCCCAAGAAGGGGTCGAAGTCGTTTTCGCGACTCTTGAATGGGAACTCGTACTTGGGGTCTTATAAATTCCGGCCGCTGCTCGACTGTCGAATTTCTGGAGGGCGTTTGGACGTTGAGTTGGGTGCCTTAATGATGGCCTGAATTGAATGCCCTTATACTGTCGACCGTTCAAGGAGGGGAATGGAAGGGGGTCGTAGGGCGAACACCTCTTGAAGCATTCCAATTTGGAATGTTTTCTATGTGACGGTTGATCCTATCTCTAGCGCCCACTTTGCTTGGCATATTCAGTAGTTTTCATGTGCCCACACGCTTGGACGATTTTTTATTTATTGTAATTCACTTGTCCTTAGCAAATTGAATTGTTGTACTCGCAGGATAATTCGATTAAGTACAGGACGAGGTGGTACGAGCTCCCTCAGAAAGAATGCTGCTTCCACTGCTCATCTTTCTAGCTATCGGTTTACAACATGGGCTTGCTAAGCCTGACGTTCCAGAGAAGAGAGGACATCATTGAGCAGTACATAAGTATCTCCATGGAATTGGTGGAGGCGATGGACGGCACTGGTGCTGATCCAGGTGAACTACATGAGGTGAACGCATTCTCCTTTACTTACACACTTAGCGGCTTTGCCTCGACCATGTTTCAACATTCATGCACCTTAAAGGAGGATTGCACGGAAAGAACGAAGGTCGAAGAAGGGAGAAATCGCCTAGTGGGGAGAGCGGTGAATCTCTTGAGGGTGCGGACAGACACGCAATCGGCATCGAAAGATTTGACCTCTGAGATCTAGCATGGCTCAAAGTTGGCGAGTTCGGCGATCTCCGCCCACCGATCGTCTGATCACTCGCCGTAGTACAATAGGTGGCGAGTGATTAGATAGCTGAGAGAGCGTAGGGTTGAAGAGGGCAAAGCGATGAGAGTCCCATCAATGCTCAAATCAACGGACAAGGAAGGGGTCCCATTTCTCCGGTTCTGGGCCGTTTTTCGTGGTTTCGCTTTCTTTCTGGTACTACTCACCATCTCTACCTCAATTTGGAATGGGTTGCTTTTCCATCGTAAATTCGTCCTTTTAAGTGCTCAATCATTCCTTGGTAGAAACCTGCCAGAATTGTCGAAAAATCGGTCTTCAAATTTGCTGGAAAATCAGCGAAAAATCATATGTGAGTCGACCTATGGGGGCGAGTAAAGTGTCAATAAAACTGGCTTACCATCTACATATCTCTAAGTCTATCTCCTAAGCAAAGGTGTATCATTAGGTTTTGTGATGTTTCTTGGTCAATAGCTGCAGTTCACGCTTCTGGTTTCTCCTAGGCTAGGCCATAATGGAGGCGATCTTCGAAGGCTCACAACTCTTTAACTTAGGTGATGCCATGTGCTGCCCTTACAAGAAAGAAAAGCTACTTCCTCAGGTAAATAGCGCTTTGACCTTTCGGCTGTGGTTGTGACGGAATGAGCGTTTATTTTCGAACAACGAGCACACGAAAACAATGAAATGCTCAAGTGTAGATACAGGTGAATGACGATTTTTCGATCCATTGTCCATTTGTTTTGGTCTTCTGCTAGACGTAGAAATTGTAAATCTTCTTCTCGTTCTTTTCATCTATAAATTCGATCCTCTTCCATTTCATCTTCAAAAGTTCCGGTAAGAGTCCAGCGCCACCTCCTTCGCTCGTTTGATTGGACAGCGAGAGAACTTCCAATATCTGTAAGTGAAGCATGATTCTCCTGAATACTACATGGAAAAACGGCATCACAGTTTTGCAGCACCGAGAGATTCCTTGCATCGTGAGTCTTTTCTCCGATCAGTTTTCAGGAGGCATTCTTATTTTCATTAGTCTCGGGGAAGAGCAAAGAAGAAGAAGGATCGTGGCATGTATACATAGGGTACATGGTACAAGGGTAGAATGATGAGCAAAACTTGGACAAACCGGCCCATCCAAATGTTGTAAATCTTTTGAAGGGATGCGCGGGCCTCTACACGAGAACGTAGCAGGGCTTGTTGACTTACAGTCTGGAGAACGGCTCTGACCGTTCGTAGCGTGCCGTGACAGCAAATAAACATTGGCATTTATAGGTATAAAACGTGTAGTGGATATAGGGCAGGCTTTTAAGGAAGTTGGTTCAGTCATACTTGTCAATTTGGTGAAACAATGCGGAGGTCTGCGTTCTTATTCCACCCCTCACAAATGCACAGGTGCAGTTCAGCTCAAACACACAAAATACTTTCATATTGTTTCTACTCCATCTCTTCAAACCGTGTGCAGGAAGGAGTAGGAGACGAATTCTTACTATTACTATTTCTTCGCTTTCGTTCCTACCCGACTTCTTTTTTTCCAGTTTTGGAACTAAGCCTAAGGAGAAATGGACAAAGTGGTGCGCACGCATTTCAATTTTTTATTTCTCTGTATGTTTTTAGGGCGGAAGTGGTGTAGTGACAAGTGGCGCGCTTACCACGCGAGCGGTCCGGGATCAAATCCTGGGTCGTGAGTCGCCCGGGCCAACCAAGCCTTCCATCCCTCCGGGGTCGGTTAATTGGTACCAGACTTGTCTGGGAGGATAAAAACACTGACTTGAACATCGGCTGGCCCCCGCAAGTCATTGTATAGGCCACATCGCATTCAAATGCCACTGCGAATGTACAAATGGAAGTAGAATGCGTGCCGCATCCCAAAAAGGGATTGATCAACGGCAAATGCTTTATCCTTTTAATTATCTTTTTTTGAGCTGAGTCCTTTCCGAAATCATCCCAAAATAGATGAATTCAAAATCAAGGAGTAGTATGGAGAAATTGCGTTCAGACATTCCTATAGTGTCTCTAGTAAACGTCGTAAGCAAGGCTCAATTTCATGCGTGCGCAGTCCCAACGAGCGGGGAGAAGGCAGTATTCGGTTTTCGGAGGAGAGCCTAACTGGGTGTGGACAGGTCTGAAAGTGGATAAAAGTGGATCTTATTTTGGGGTAATGGTGTCGTTAGGGCTCAGCTGTAGCAAAAAGGGGTCGTCTATAATGGGTTTGCGCGAATGATGGAGGAAAAAAACTTCATGCATAAAAGCAAAGAAGCAAAGAAATAGGAAATTTTCTTCCCGCCGCGCGTGTCCAATAGAAAAGTGGACGTAAACGTGGGGGTCGATGATGAAGAATGACGTTCGTACGAAACCTTTCTTAAGATCTGGGTCGTGTGAAATCGCGTTGCGAATCGTGATCAACAAACGGTGAACCGCCTGCATGGAGAAGATTATGACATCAATTGCCTGGAGCACAGCGGTAATACCTTAACCTTTCGACGTACGGTCCGGGCGGCACTGGAGCGCCGCAAATGTCACGTGTCATCGACTTTCCATTACGTGCTCGCCTTCCAGTTACTCGTATTTCCGTTGATGCGTTTCCTTGGGCTCTGCGCGCGGACGCGCGTGCCACTGCGTTCGCGCCTGCAAGCGTGGTTACGTGTTAGTATCACATCATGTTATTCGGCTCGAACGGACTAACGTTTCGAATTTGTCACTCCAAGAACCGCCGTGAGTTATGATTTCTGCCTGCGCTAACGCGGCCGTATCCTTCCGTCCAAGCATTAGTCCGTTCTTCAACTCGTTGTTTAATCGTCTGTCTCCGCCATTCTGTGGAAATCACTAGACAAAATTCAAGTAAATCCTGTAACGCTTTCTGAAACACAATACCTGGTTGCTTACGATGCGTTGCGTGGCGTCTGCCTTCGGTGAAACTCGGAGGGAGGGGAGGGGGCATGCGATGGCGCGGCCAGGGTCAACCCTACGTTGTTACTAGTAACAACGGGGGGTCGTACTTGGTTGAGTTTGTAGGAGGGGGGGGTCGTACTTGGTTGAGTTTGTAGGAGGGGGGGTCTTACCCATTTCAGTCGCTTGAAATCACATGTGAGTTTGAGGTGAGTTTAGTGTTTTTGTTTTTTGAGGGAAAACAAGTTTTGAAGAAGGGTTCGTATGAAATTTCTCGTGAAGCCTTCCCTTTATACTTTGCGTCGAGCGCAATTGCAGGCGGTGCATGCGTTAGGACTAAACTGAAGAAGCACCACCATCAACACCGCATTTGTTCTCAGAAATACCAGTTGGACGAGTTTCTCTGTCTCGGTAAGGTCACGCACATAGATCGCTGCTTGATTTGCCACTCGATGCAGATGTCCATTAATACATCATTACCTCCGAGTCACGTTTCTTCGATTCCTTCCGCGTGTCCTCCTCTGTTTCTTTTCCTCTGCTTCTTTTATCATTCGTTGCATCTTTTGCGTTCTTCCACGAAAGCGTTATTGTGCCTCCTTTTGACATGTCTATCAATTTCGCCGAAGAAATGTACAGAATCTTTTTGCGAGAGTCGTAGAGCGACGACTGAACGTTGATGTTCACCTGGAAGAAAGCTGTTAGATTTTCATTCGCTAACACTGACATTTTGAGATATATTCTGAAAAGCCGTGATCGAATCGGTAACAAACCTTTCCTCCGTCAATAGTGAAGCTGCTAAAATCTGGATAGTGCATATAATTGAAGATTTCCAGTATGTCAAGCGTAGGAATGGGCAACGACTTCTAAAGTAGGAACTAGAGATTTCACATAGAAATCTACTAATCGATTTTCTGCTTGTAGCAAATAGGCTAGCATTTGGGTTGTCCCATAGTCCATGAACCACTTTACATTATTGCTGTGAAAATCGGCAAGAAAGCTCAAAGTATCGAGAAATGTCTTGCGAAGTTCTACCCATGCTGGTATACCTGAGCGCCTCATTTACCAGCTGTCCCCTATATGGCAGAAACTAATTTTT